ACTATGGCTTTTTTTCCCCCATCTCTAGTTGGCAAGGGTTGGTCATATCAAACAAGAGCTCTTTGCTAATTAGGAATTAATGTCTGTAAGCCAGGTAAAATGAAGATTCTTAAAGGAAAAGACTAAAAATTAAGTTTGAAAAACTTTAATTCATGCTGATAAAATACAAATCATAATCAGAAAACTGACAATTCAGAGGAATGTTTTTGTAGCCCTTCTAGAAATGCATATGTGTATTTTTGTTTAGTACACAAGTAGGCTGTAACTTTTATCTTGTTTTGCAACTTTTCAAAACAGATTTGAAGACTTTTCAAGAGAAAAATTCCTCTCAGCCTCTTTGCTAGTGTTGCCCCTGGCCTGAGAAAGTATATTTTTGTCACCCCCTCCCCCACGTCCCCTTATGGAGAGATGTGCGGTTGTGTCTAGGATCACGGTGATTGGCTAGGGCTTTGGGCCAAGTTGGTCAGCACTGGCGTGGGGCTGACCTCTTTCTGCGGCTGGCAGGTGGAATGGGTGTTCCAGCTTCAGGGCTTTTTCTGGCAGAAAGATGAGGGCCTCAAGGCCTATGAAAGAGCCGCTACACCTAAGACGGGAAGTGAGAAGGGGCCCGAGTTCAGGGAAACGAGCAGGCCTCAGGCTTAGGTGGGGGTAGAAAGCTCGCTTTATCTTGACTTCAGCAGTCTTAGGCTTCATTCAGACAGATTTTTCTACACATCTTAATTCATGTAAGGAGATGGAAGCAGACTCATCGTTTCGCCCTCTGCCCTGCACAGATCTCACCAGTGAAGCTACAGCTATTTCAGTATCAGTAAAAGTGGAAGAAATACATAACTGAGAATAGTGATCTGGAGACATGTTGAGTGTCATCCAGACTTGGCCTCTATGGCTGACTACCAGCCTTTACTAGGGGAAGCTGAATTAGTCAGACAGCTGGGGTTTGAACGGGGAGGTACTCTCCAAGGAACCTGCCCCTCTGGCCACCCTCGTCCCTCAACCCCCAGCTACGCCAGGCCTTGCCGCACTTCAGGTTTGTTTGCCAAATAGCTGGAAAGACAAGTGCCTTGCAGGAAAAAGTAACATCCCCACGACCCTCAAGTCTCCTACCTCATCCAGTAGGCAGTGACCTAGACGACAACTTTAGAAGCTCAGACTAAACGTAGTTTTTAAGGCACGACCAGCAAGAAGTCCGTTTCCTTACTGATGCTATCCCTGTACAGATGTGGGTCCTAGTTGGGTGTCTGCTTCCTTGGAAGTCATTTTCCCAACTAAGTGTAGAAATTCTCTAGCAAAACCCACATGCTTGATTATCATGAGTGGTTAAGCCTTGTTTTCCTACCACTGACCCATCTGGGAAGCGAAATGGACCCACAGATCTTTGACTTGTCATTTTGTCTGTGTACCAAGAATAACCTTTCTTTCACCTTTACTTTCTTCTCCCACAGAGGTCAGCCGTCCTCCTTGCCCCTAGTTCTTAACTTCATAGGGGAGAGTAAGCGTGCGGGACTCTGGGGGTACGTGTGAAACTTAACACCTGATTTGAGTTCTAGTCCTTGTTCTGTCCAGGATTTATCTGAAAGTCCACGTCTGCCTGAATTAGTTGAGAAACAGAATCTAGTGCACAAGTTGTCTCCGGAGGAGTGAGAGTATGAGACCTTGCTAAAGAGGTGTGTTTTCCAGATCAGCTGGATAGAAACGCTCGTCTTCCTTTGTGAGTACACAAAAATACCAAGCAAAGTCTTCATGCTGGTTCCTTTCCAGTCTAACTTTAATTGCAGAATGGAGATAGGCTGTACACTATTTGTTATATCATTCCAGATGCTACTTCAACCAAGGAAACAGAACCTAGTTCTCTTGGGGCGAGGTGGAGGAAAGGAGTCGGTGCTCTGCCTTTTGTTTTAAACACAAATTTTATTAGGCTAACTCAGTTGTCTTAAACCTTCCTATCCTCAGCGAGGGCTTGAAGCAGTAATTGAAACAATGGGCCCACGTCCCATAGCCAGGCCCCAAAGTTGCCTAGCCTGACCCCGAGGTTATGCAAACAGTAAACAGGGCACAATTGGTCAAAGTCAACTAGGATTTAAAAATCCATGTGGGGTAAACAGCCGCTCTGGTACTATCACAAACCAGCATGCAAACCCACAAGGTCATAATGCAGACCCAGACCTGCTGTCGAATACTTTAACACAAGCTATTCAATACAAACAAAAACTACAGAGCCGAAGTGTCGAATTGTCTGCACATATTGTAAACTTAAATGTTTCAGCCTCGCCTCAAAGTTCCGCTACCTCACTGGCCTAAGGGCCAAGTATGCTTTTCATCCCAGCAGAATGGTTTTATTTCAGCTTTCAATATTCAGCAGTTTATTCAGAGGAAAGCGCCCAAAGCCAAGGTTGATTACAAGTCATCCATAGAAGAGAGATGAGCACTTTGAACACGTTGGCTAGGAAAGCAGTAACTTTTGAAGAAAACCTCAATGCTGGAGGGGCGAACCAAGGCAATGTGCAGATCAGACAGATGGCTATCTGGGGATCGTAAGCTCCTCTCTCAAACTTCCTCAGCCACACACCAGAACACCAGGATGCCTCTGCCTCCTCGCTCCCTACTGCTAAAAGGCAAGGTGACGCCAAGACTCCTTCCTTTCCCAAGCTGAACGCTGGGCTGGCAGTGCTATTTGTATTTCAAATTCTAGGCGAGGGACAGCACTGAGCCTGCACTTAGTTCAGGCCATCAGCTCTTAAAGGAGAGCATCTTCATGAGAAGACCCAACTTGTACATCAGATTAACACTATTACCAATCAGATAACCTGATCAGATTAATTTGATCTCAAACAGAACTCAGGGGCCGGCCCTGTGGCCGAGAGGTCGGGTTCGCACGCTCCACTTTGGCGGCCCGGGGTTGGGATCCTGGAGGCGGACATGGCACCACTCCGGGCTGTGCTGGGGCAGTGTCCCACAGAGCACAGCCAGAGGCACTCACAACTAGAATATACAACTAAGTACTGGGGGACTTTGGGGAGAAGAAGCAAAAAAGATTGGCAACAGATGTTAGTGCAGGTGCAAATCTTTAAAAAAAAAAAAAAGAAAACCAGAACTCAGCTCCATACACAGTTCAGGATGTGGAGCCACTGCAGGAAATTTGGATTTCAGAGTTCCAGTTCTACCAAATTATGTTGGAGTAACAATTTCCGCTATCATTTTACCTTCTCTGTGAGGGAAATAATTACTTTATAACAGATTCCCGATGCTACAGGCCACAGACTAGAAAGACGCATTGAGCACATATGGCCAAGGGTTAAAATCAAATTGAGCTTAGCTCAAATGAGTTCTGGAATGTGACTGTATCTGAAAATTACTACTTAAAAATTCAACTATTAAAAATTATTTAAAATTCATAGTCAAAACTTTCAAATGACATTGAAAAGCAGAAACAATTATTCCTGAGCACTGCCAGTTGCTAGAGTGCTTCTGTGGTCATTATAGTAGCCATTTGCTGTACTAACTTGAAATTCATCTGAAGACAGTGGAGGCTGTCTGGCTCTGCCAATGTAAAACATTTCTATGATGATGCAATTTCATTGAAGTCATCCAACAAATGCGTTTTTGCACTGCCTGAAGAAACGCTCTCTGAAGGGCCAGCCTGGTAGTGTAGTGGTTAAGTTTGCACCCTCCACTTCAGCAGCCTGGGGTCACTGGTTCAGATCCCAGGCACAGAACTACACACTGCTCATCAAGCCATGCTGTGGAGGCATCCCACATACAAAACAGAGGAAGACTGGCACAGATGTTCCCTCAGGACCAATCTTCCTCATCAAAAAAAAAAAAAAAAGGAAAGAAAGAAAAAGAGCAAAGCAAAGCAATGCTTTCCAAATACTTTTTGAAGCAGACTTAAGAATTTGCTGTGCCTATGTGTATTTTTTATTTCTAACATTTCTGGATGCATTTGTGGCTTCAACAATTGCTTGAGAAAAATTTATCCTTACACAGAATCTAGAAATGTGAAAAATGGCTTAAAGATAAGAAAATACTGAATATCTATCTTCACTTCAGTTTTCATTGCATGCATTATCCATTTCAATGTCTTCCCTGGGGAGGAATGATATGGTTTTATGAGTTCAGGAATGCCAGAAATGACAATGAAGTAGATTCCAAAGGTTAAGGCTAAACCTGAATAGCAGCCCACGCTGGACACACACCAAGGCTGAAGGCTAATTTCAGTGCATCTGATGACGCAGAACAGAACCAGACGACCTCAGCCCTCCTCAACCCAACTCTCTAAACTAGCTACCAACTGCTCTGCTGCTGCCGACTACGAGGACACACTCGCACCTCTGCACAGAAAGGCCTCCCAGCTCCGCTTTATGTCTTCCCAAACTCCTTAGGCGGCTTTTAGAAAAAAGTATCTACACATCAGTTTACCTGAAACGAATGCTTTGTACTACTGAAGAGAGCTGAACTGTTACAGTGATTTGATCTCAGTGGAAACCTCATTTTCCTGTTTTATAAATGACAAGGGTTTAGTCCCACTTTGGCTCTAGGATTACAGGCAGAAAACGATGTTAAGAAAATGGATGACATTTTAATTCAGGGATCAAACACAGGGCCAATTCCTGAAAATTCTGGAGAAGTTGAATTTATCTAAGGTCACACAAATCTATGAAATACACGAGCCAAGAACTAAACCTAAATCAAAAACCCATGTTCCCAAACATTTTATAGTTTGGAAGTGCTATCAGGTCACAGGGTGCTAAATAAACAAACTTTGAGCAATATGAAGACAGGATGATGTGACAATCTTTACAACCTCTGTAGCAATTATAAATGCTCAAAAACATTTACTAAATTAATACGGTGAGACCACTCAAAGTCCAGGCGCCAGATTTTCAAGCCTACAGTGTTCAAGAAATAAAACCATCCAAGGGTGGAAGTTATGTCCAACAGGCTGAACCTGTAAGGTAATAAAAGGCAAAGAGGGTTTTGGCAAGACTTAATCAAGACAGAAATCAAGGATTATAAATCTATAGTTTTATTAAGACAAAAACTGACAGTGTGGTATGAAGTTTACATCTTAACAAAGTTTTCACAGAAACCTAACACATGCCTAAAAAGATTCACAATGGAGCTCTAGATGCAGTCTAGATGATGCCAAGAACTGACACATCTCATGATTCAAGACAGCGTTTTGGGTATTAGTCAATTCTTATGATTAAAAAATTTTTTTTTGTTTTCTTTTCTTTTGTGTTTTAAAGTAAACCACTGCCCCAGTATGAAAGTCTAATCTTCTCCTGAGACCAGGGCTTTTGAAATCATTCAACTCTTGAAGTAATTCAATGAACTTGTGCTGTCAGTGACTAAACCCTGTCACCAATGGTTTCAGAGTTCAAAGTTCAAAAAACAGAGGCTCCAAGAGTTTTCCACCCTAAGAGCATGGGCCCTTGTCTTCCCCTACTCTCCCACCTCCTATACCTCCCTCTGCCCCTCCCCAAACACCTCAGCCAGTGGCTTGGATGGACGAGCTGATATGTGTAACTTTATAACTGGAAAGAAAGGGTCTTCTCGTCAATTTCCAGAATTAGCACCTCTGAGACAGAAGATCTGCCTGTGTATGGGCCCCGATAAAAGACTTGCCCTCCTCAACCAGCTTCCATCTCCAAAACAGCAGCTTTGGTAACGTATTAACTGGCTTAGTCCTTTGTTTGGAACAGCATTAATCTCAGGCAGGGAACACCTTGGCTTCTAAGTTTCAGGCATTCACAGCTTTTAAACAGTCTCTCACAGTCCTCATTCAGGTTGCCAATGACATTTTTTGAAAAGATAAAATATTCTGGACACAGAACCAAATCATCATTAGTTGTTTGTTCTTTCCATTGTTTCACCATTTCCCCAATCAGGCCCCAAATTTTAACAAAAATGATCCTACTCATCTCCCTTCTTTCCCACCCCATCCCTCCCACCCCCAAATAATACACCAGTAATAGCCAAAAACTACACACATGCTACGCTGTAAAAATGCAGAGTTAACACTATTGGGAAGAAGGCTGTGGGTTGTGGAGATGCTCTTTGAAGATCTACAGTATCTTTCTGCTCTCCCACACACCCATTCTGCAAATTCTGTCCTTCATGGAAGGGCCTCTGCTTTTCTCAGCAAAGTGCAGAATGGGCTGCCTTGAAACACTTCTCCTCCTTCCCCTCCACTGGGATGGGTGTGCAAACTATACAGCATGGAACGGCTTTAAAGCACTTGGGCTGCTGTGGGGCACAGAAATTATACTCGCTCTTCAAAGGACATCTTCTCAAGCCACCTCTATGGTGTCAAGACAAGTAGAACTCCTTCCCTTTCCACTTGAAACCCACAGTCAGATGCGACAGGGGCTGGAACTCAGGAGAGTTAATTCTTGTCATCTTTTTTGTCATCATCCTCCGAGGGGTAGGAATGCCACGTCAGCCTTTCCTCATAGAAGGATATGACAACCTGTGGGCACTTGACGTTGGCTTCCTTGGCAGGGACCAGGTCAGCCTCATCAGAGTTTTTCCTGCAGAACAAAGCACAGAGAGACTTTGAGACCAGGTGCTGGTGGTCTCCTAACGTGGATCACCCAAGGGATAGGGCTTTAAGAACATTAATTCCAGAAGAGTAGGCTAGGAAGGGGGACAACATGACCCAAGCAGTATTTACTGGCAGCTCTTAGTCAAGTGACATCCTTGGAGACCCTCTCCTGTTGAACATTCCCTCTGGGTATCTCTGTCAAAAAACCTAGATCACCTAACTCAATCTATCACATCTGAACCTCTGGGAAATGTCAAAAAAAAAAAAAGCATGACTCTCAGATTCTCTGAAGGAAGAGAGGCTACCACACTCTTCCAAAAGCCATGCCCCAGCTGCTAAGAGCCCGTGGAGAGATCCTGGCTTTGTAATAGGATGTAATACCATGTTGGATAATAAGATTTAATACCAATCTGGCATTGGTCAGAGCCGATGCAGGTGGACTCTTTCTTGCTGACTCATAATTACACCGTTTAACATTACCAAATGCCATTCACACAGATCTATGCCACAACTCTCAAGTGCTTTGAAAGGGTGCTTCAACACTGAGAGGCAGAAAATCAAAGGCCTGTTACATAATTCTCTGTATTTTCCTTAATTTTAAAACGTTCTCAAAATTTGAAAATCACATACATATTACAAGGGACTTAGGAGTAAGCTTTATCTTCAGGTCATTGGGAATGTCCCAGAAGGGAGCAGTAGCACAGGGCAGGTAGCAGGTATATGACGGGATCTCTAATGGGGCATCACCCAAAACTTCCAGAACCCCAGTAACAAGTAAACCAAAGCCATCCAGCCCCAGGGAACTGGAGAAGAGGAAGCCGGTGAGGGGTGTTTCTGAACAATGGACTCAAGAGAATGGGAGGAAAAAGGGGCATAACAGTAAGGGAACTTGAAGCAGGCTGCCCCTTGTTGACAATTCAATACCACCCAGAGCTAAGTTTAGTCATTCCACTACATAGAAACATTTGCTATTTTTGGAAATGCACAAGTATCTCCATTCTCCAGGAAAATCACTTTAAAATGAACTTGTTTTCTTATAATCAACATCCAGTCTTATCTTAACCTGTAGAGTCACACTCTGCTATAATCTTTACACACAGCAGTGAGTCAATCAAAGGACTACAATCTTAAGCAATATGGAGATATTCATGTAACTCTAACTGGTGGGGCACATGTGCAGACAGAGACAGTGTGTTCTAGTCGGACAGAATAACTCCTGCTGTCAGTGCCTTTCCCCTATATGCAGCACCTTAAAAATGAACTTGTCTCTGACAGGCTAGCAATAAACCAGTTAAAAGGAGGTCAGATTCAGTAAACACCGAGGGAATAGGAAGAAAACAGAGGTATAGCTAGTTGTGACTTAGGCCTCTCCAGCTCCCTTCTCAAGGAGAGGACTTAGTACAGATACGGGTTTCAGAGAGGGTTCTAGACTGACAAAAGGAAAAAGCCTCTAGAATGCTGCCTTCAGTGGCAAGGGCTTAGAATTATTCACTCAATTTACATTTTAAGGACAATGATTGAGATCCACTTGCAGGAAAAAAAGGTACAAGCATTTCAACAAGCAAGAAAAAGGGAAGAAAGCCTTCTTTTTGGACAGAGAGCAGGGAAATTATAGAGAATTTCTGTTTAATTACAGTTCTTAAGAGTCTCATGACAACCGCTTTCATTACGCTGTTCATAGAGTATTACTACCACTGGTATTTATACTTACAATGGAAAAAAGTAGGCTTGCTCTATGCTCAGTGTAGTAAAAGGGCCTTGCTGACCCCTGCTGGCTGATCCTGGAATTGTAGAATCTGCACAAATTGGAAAGGATCTAACAATCAAGGACAAAGGAAGACCTACCGAAATTCTATTTCCTAACCCAGAGCCGTTAAGAGAATTTCTGGTCCTAGAGACAGCCCAATCTGAAGGAGGTGGTAGAAGGGGAGGGCGGTTCAATCACATTTCATATTTTTTCACTTCATTTACAGAAATGAAATGCGACTCCTCCCCATACCCTCTCCACTCTATAGATTTTCTCCCACCTCCTAAAAAAATGGGCAAAGATCTGAGAATCCTAAGGGCCCCTACCTGTAACACATGAGTCCAGGTTGGCAGTCAGGCCGAGTCACTATCGAAGGACTATGCCATCTTAAAGATTTCACACCTGGGCGACTGGAAATTTCGAAGATCCAGCTCTTTTCCTCTGGCATGGAACAGATGGGGAGAAGAACAAAACAACCACACAGAGCCACTGGCTGACTCACCATTTCATCAGGAACATGAGTTCTCCGCTGGAGTCTGTAGCTCCAATAATCCGCTCTGGCTCCAAACCCCGGGCGAAGCCGCGTGGCTTTTCTGACTGTAAAAACCAGATGGAAGGAACAATTTTAACTACATGGGACTGTTATCCAGACTGGAGTTCCTCCTGCTTCTCTGATTAATGTGATCAAACTCTTTGGCCAGTATTTCACCAACTCCTTGGCTCTAAGTCACAGGCATTTTACAATCTTTCTGAGTGATTATTCCATCAAGGTCCGAAGTGTTTGGGGTTCCCCCTATGTAAAAAGGGACATACATCTCAAGCAAAATAAATGCTCACAACTGTTTCTTCACTCTCATGAGACAACTTGGTTTAAGGTATTGAATAGATTAAAACAGCTACCTCCAACCTGTAATGATGACAACACTGAAAGCTGTCTACGCAGAGGAATGAATTCACTTGCACTTACTGTTTCTGAACCTCGGATAAAATAAGAGTAGATTATGTGGCTTCACGGGAGCGAGCCCCCAAACACTGTGTAAACATTAGCCTATCTAAGATTCCAGAAGGACTGAGAGACAGCTACCGAGGTCCAAGCAGCTGCAGAACGGCAATGCTTAAATTATCTGGCTTTGCAGCTTCGCTGACAAGTCTGAACTCCGGGCTGGTAACCATGTTTACTTCTGGCCTCACCTCTTCCTTCTTCTTCTTTGGCTTGCTCTCCTCTCCCTTATCTTCAGAATCAGAGTCAGCTTTGCGCTTGCCTCCCTCTGATTTATCTGTCTCATGCGCTGTTTTCTGTGACTGTAGAAACTCGGCAATGAGGTCGGGGCAATCTAGGTTCTCTTCTGGCTCCCATGTGTTGTCCTCACTGAAACCAGAGGGCACAGCGAGTCACACTTTCCACTCAAAGTCAGCATACTCATACTAAGAGAAGCACAGGAGGACAAGAGCCGGTGTTCTCGGGAACAGAGGAGTTAAGGATAATAAGTAATTAGACTTTGTCAAAGACCAAGAACTCTACAAAACTGAAACTTCCTGGGGGGCTGTGGGAGGCTTTTTAGTAGAAATTGAAAGCTTAGAAACTTGCCTCCTTTAAAGGAAAATTACTTTCTTTTTGCAAACCTGGGTCAGTCTAAAGCCACACACAAAAACTGCTCCTCAGAAATCACTGTCTTGCATCAGGGCACTCTGTACCTGTAGATCATTTTCCTAATTCAACCATAAGCCCTGAAGGCCAGGCTTGAGTCACACCATGCTCGTCACTCACCCTGGGCCTTGCACATCACTAGACTCCAGAGAAACAGTGCGTGAGCAGACGAACGGATTTAGCCGAGTCAATGAAACTTACTCGGAGAAGCCCTTCCACTTCAGGAGGTACTCCACTTTGCCCTTCACCACTCGACGGTCGAGAACTTTCTCCACCACATATTCCTCTTCCTCCTCTTCTAGCACCTCCTCCACTTTCTTCTTGTTTTGTTTTTTCCCCATAGTGCCCGCCAGCTTTCTGGAATAAAGGGTGACGCTGCTAAAATGATAAAGGAAATAAAAAGGACATTAGGGCACACTCTTCTTGGTTAGGGGAGTATTTGGATGTTAAGAAAACCAGGGACAACACTGATGACTTTAATGGTGTATGCTGCTTCTATGAAGTGTCATGCCTGCTTATCCTCCACACAGAAGCCAGAAAGTTAGTTCATAAAACAGCCTCAACTAATCTCAGAGCCAAACCTCTTTGTTCTTGCATATCCACTGAAAATTTTTATATCCATTCTGAATTTAAAAAGTTCCTAATACCCTTTTTACTATGAAGCATGGTATCTAAAATATTATATTAAATTGAAAGAAAAGCACTCCTCCTACAAAATAATGTCAATATATCAAACTTCTATACATATAACCCTTTGATCTATACTTTCTCCTATTCTCTGAATGTTTACCATTTCAGCACAGTCCTGGACTTAAATTTCTACTGTGGGAAACAGCTTGTCCTATTTATTAAACATCCAGTTTCTTTTTCCCTTTTGTATATGCATATACAATACAATCTATTCTTCTGGCATTGTTAAAATAACCTCTTTTGAGTCCCCTTAAGGTTCTTTATATAGTCTTTTCTAAATGCCACCATTAATTTACAATCTGCAAGTTTCTCGTTAACTTCTTATGCTACTTAGTTTATTTCTAAGGCTGAGGAAGATTCATTAAAAATGCCAGAATGACTATGAAATTCTCTAAACTGGAGCACTGCAATAATCTGAAAAATGAGTGGGGGAAAAAAGGGAAGCTATCACAGATAACAGAACATGAGTTTATTCTTTTGTAAAATACACCCCCAGGCTGCGTAGCCTCTAAGGGTTTTTCCAGTGCTAAAATTCTAGTCCCCTATAAGTCTATTTTCTTTAGTCCTTCACACAATTCTTCTGACTGCTGGAAGCCTTAGGATTACCTACCAATTTGTGTCAGGAGGTGGCGCCATAAGATATCAGTACAACAAAACTGATCTACAAAACTGGCCAAAACCTACAAATTGATGGATCATAGTTGCCCAGAATGAGACACAAAGAACAAGAAAGTTGCCATGTCTGAATTTAAGACAATGTCACTTTGGGGTTAGACTGGTTGTTCTTAGCATCCTTGGGAAAAGGATTCTTACTTTGCATTAAGTAGAAACTCTTATAAATACTTTAAAACTGGCATATATAGATAGAATGTACTTTAGAAAGAGTCCAGCTATAGACTATACGAAATATAACAAACTGATTAAAGTCAGGATCATCATTATGAATCAGTTATATTATCTACAGATGCTTAGGTTTATACTTCGAGATAGTCCTGTGTATGTGCATTTATGAAGAATGCTGACTTACTGAAACCACAAACATTTGTTTGGCTACTAGAAAATTCTAGACAATACTGGAGATTCAAGACAGTAAGAAATTGTCCCTGCCCTCCTGAAGCTTAACGTCTGGTAAAAAAAAAAAAAAAAAGCAAAAAACCAAAAACGTAGATGCCTCTTCCACTAAAGGTATTCTATACTTTTAGAGCGACATGAAAATGTTTTCTGGGGCGCTTTTAGTCTGGCCCAAGGCAACACTCAAGGCCCCTGTCCACACAGTTCAGTGAACCTCTCTGCGCTAAGATGTATCTTTCCAACACTCTTCCTCTCTATTTACATACTGAAGACTAGGCTTTCCTTCTCTCTCCAATCTTTCTTTTAGAGAAAGTGCCACATGTGTCTTCCTTTCCTTCTGTTACTGCTGAACAGACTCATCAGTGGATCAAATGTAACCCTTGGCTAATTCTCTGCTGGCTTCATTGTGCCTCTGATTCAGAGGCTAGGCTTCTTTCTGGAGGGAGAGGCCTTCAAGTTTTCAGAATTCTGATTGCCATGTGACAAGTGTTCTTTCATGAGGAAAGAAAAATCTAATTTTCCTTTTGGATAAATGCACTAGTTTTTTCCCCAAGAACAAGTGCTACTCCTTGGTTGCTTCCTTTCACCGTCAGTTGAAGTGGTAGCAAGATTTATCCTCAGTCTTTTGCTCACATGCAGAGAAGAATAAACTGACCATCACCTTTAGATAACAAAAGCTCCCCTACCACGAATCCCTACATTCATTTGGATTTGGGAATTGGAACATGCTCCCTTTCTCAAAAGATGGACAGGAAACAATGGGTTACAGACAATCCAAAAAACAGTAACTGTCCCCTAATAATCCCTCTTCCAAGTAATTAAATTTAAGAAGGGGAAGGAAAGGCATTCTATCACATGGCTTCAGAATTCAGTGCTATTTAAGGCTCTGTGTTTTCGACATGAATAGCCATATTTGGCTTATTCACAAAAAGAAACAGCACTGCTTACTGCCCATCTAATCCTGCTACTATGAACCAAAAGGGTCAGGAGAGCTTCTGGCTCATCTCCAGCTACTGTGGCCTCGCCTCCCCTCCCTTTATCATTAGCATGGTCCCAAGGGAGGAAGAGTCAGCATACAATAAGAATCTAATCCTTTAGGTTAGGGAAAGAAAATCCCCAAAATGGGGGAAATCTAAAGTAAGACTTCTTGATTTTCGTCTTACTCACTTCACTCATTGTCCTAAGAGCAATTCAAGTAAGAAGAGAAGAATGTAGAAAATAGACTTCTGCTTCTCTCTCAGCTTTCTTATCTGGCTCATCCCAGCATCTACCTCCAGAGACTGGATTCTTTATATTGGAGATTCTCAGCCAGGCTTCCCAGTATGAGTTTTTTCCTTATTATTTTCTTACTTCTCTAGGGTCCTGAATAAGCTGTCAAAATCAGTAGAGAAGTGGATTAAATATGCAATCCACTCTTCCTATAGAATCTAACACCTTCAGAGGAGCCAAGAGCCTCCTTAAATATTATGCTGGGCCAATTATTCTCATATAGTTTCCGAAAGGACTATTTCAAGAGAAACTCCCCTCTCCCTCAATATGGCAGTCTCCCAACACCAGCACAGACATCTAGATGGAGGGCTCTCAATTGGAATTGCTTGGCAAGGAAATTTCAAAGTAACTCAGATCCGTGTAAGTAGCACAAGAGAAAAACACCTTTAGTCAACGTTACTTGCCACTCCTAAGCATCCTGGTAACCAAATTATGGCATCAAAAGTACCATAATCATTGAACAAAGGGTCAAAATATGTGATAGAACACCACAAGAGGTATACACAAGGGCAAATAGTTCTAGATTAACTCAGAAATCAAATCTTAATCATTGGACAAGACTTCTTAAGGCTTATCATGATGTTGCAGACAAAAAATCTTGAGTTAAGTAAGCTCCTATAACTTTTACCTAAATGTTTACCGGGTGTGCAACATTTTAAGATGCCTAGAAAAATAATACTTTACATTTGTATTGCACTTGACAAAGTGCTACCACATTACCTCATTTGATCCTTGAAACCATCTTGTGAAACAAACCACTCAGATGTCATCGCCACCTCAGAGATAGATAACATAACAGACTGATAAGAGGTAACAGATTTACATAAGATAAAATCACCTCCGGTCACACAATTAGCAAAGAGCACAGTGCTTCAGTCAGTACATTTCCTAGCAAGGCTGGGCTGGCAGTCCTGTTGCACACACAACCAGGAGCTAGCTCCCCACCTACAAGGACACTTCCATCCAGCCGGTACAAGGAACGGACAAGCAAATCTCTTGAGATGGATCCTCCCTACCATTTGTCATCAGCAAATAAGGAAGTGACCGATAATGATTTTCTTTTGGAAAAGACCTTGGAACATATGGCTTTTAAAAAACCACTAATTTTTAATTGGTTACTGGAATACGAAGGTATTGTTAATTAAATCAGCAGGCATTAACAAAGCTTTGATTTTCAGTGCCCCAGCAGTCTTCTGAGTCTTTTAAATTGAGAAATGCTAGAGGGTGCAGAATTTTTGAAGTTAAACACGTAGCAAGTAGGCTGGAGAAATAACTGAGAAAACGCCAATTTTAAGAAACCAAAAGTCATCTACAGTGTCCCAATGAATCCAGGAATAGTGTAAATCTGAAGCAAGAGTCATGACCTCAGAGCTCTGTTAAGAGAGAAAAAGGGCACTGTTGCGATTCTCCTCACTCTCACCACTCCTGCAGTTAGTGAGGAGCTGGAAAACGCAAAGGAGGAACAGTGCTGTCTGAAGGCAGAGATGCTGCCTGAAGGCAGAGGCAGGAAAAGATCAGATACAAGATTAGGCATCTTGTTTGGAGTAGTTTGTACTAGGAAAGGGGACAAGAAGGATCTGAGAAGACAATGTGGGCACAGCCCTTGGCTGCCATCACATACATGAAATATAAAGGGCTACCCCAGGAACTTCATACTGATTTCTCACCTGCTTGAAAAACCGAATTCCAGATGTGAGCACAAGGTAACACCTACAGGCCTCTGACACCAAACCAGTAGGGCTTTTAGCTAAATGCTAAGTTAAAACATTTAGATTGTTGGTCTAGTGAGGTGACCATCTTTACTAAGAAATACTTCACATGAAAGCAGACCCTGAGCAGAGAACGTTTACCTACATGAGAATCAGAAAGTAGGGGGTATGCGTTTATGATTTTAAAAAAATATTTCGGGGGCCGGCCTGGTGGTGCAGCAGTTAAGTGCGCAAGTTCTGCTTCAGCGGCCCGGGGTTCACCGGTTCGGATCCCGGGTGTGGACATGGCACCGCTTGGCAAACCATGCTGTGGTAGGCGTCCCACATATAAAGAAGAGGAAGATGGACACAGATGTGCGCTCAGGGCCAGTCTTCCTCGGCAAAAAGAGGAGGACTGGCAGAAGATGTTAGCTCAGGGCTAATCTTCCTCAAAATAAATAAATAAATAAATAACAAACAAAAAAAATTTGTTTTTCTAATTGTACTATAATACATGTATTGACATTCAATTACAAAAATACTTGATGTAGGAAATCAAAGTTCCCTGGCCCCAAACCTATCAAAGCCTGTTTTTGTTCTTCTATACATAAACTAATGCAGATAAAAATATGCGAAAACAGAGACAGTAATTCTACAGCT